AGTTTGTCATCCTTTGTGCATTGTAATTGTCCTCTGTTATTACTGACAGGTTTATCGATCAGTTACTAATGTATTCTGCAAGAAGAAGGTAAGCTTGCATTCTCTTCATTGCACTGTCTCATTTGGTGTTGCAAAAGTTATTGTACAGATTTTATAGCTTTGCTTGAGTGGCTTTACTGTCTAGTTGAATTAGGGGTGGAACAAGTGTACCAACATTTGAAAATTTATTTCTTTTGTCTATTTGAATGCTAAGGTGGTATTTCAAACATTTGAACAAATAGAGAAGTGTAAAAACATTGTTAGGGGCAATTCTAGCTAGCTATCATAGGCTATGCAGTACAATCTAATTTAGCCTAGGTCTGCATTTATTATTTTGTATTTTAGTAGGAATCAGGAACCCAGCACTTCTGCGAGGAAGTTAGCAACATTTGATTTTTGAGTGAAAACTAATTATATTTTACTAGGATAATGAATATGAAAAGAGCTCAATCATGGAAGACTCAGCAAGTGTCTAAAAAACTGAAATTTTCAGGTAGCCGAGGCTAGGTTCAGTACTAATTTTTTTAAATTACAAAAATAATATTCATAGAATTCAAAAACTTGGCTGCACATGAAATGAGACGATTTGATACCTTCCAGCAGTGGCTTCAAGACTCTACCTTTTATTTTCACAACATAGCAATAACTGGAGAGATATCTATTGTTGACGACATAGTGAAGTGTCGTCCACTTAACTATCCATCAAAGTGCCATAGGTAATTGAATATGACAATTATGATACAATACTTTGTATAGTAAAAGTTTCTGTCACGCCTTGATGCGTATCATTTCTGTTTATAGATGTCAGATGATGAAGCAAAGGAATGATTTACTTGGTGATATTGGTAAAATTAGATGGAAAGAGCTGAAGTATTCAGATATGCCTGATGATGTGGTATGCTACTGTTTAAAATATATGTTTATAACACATACTATAGCCACTTGGAGTGCGGACTTTAGTTATTAGCTTTAAGTCTATGCTTACTCATAACTCCGATGATGTGTCGTCTAAAGCTTTCACAAGGCATTTGTTAGAGACTGTCAAGACATACTGGATGTGCCAAGCCCATGCCACTAATTGTGATATGTAAGTCTAAGCATACATTATATTATTTCCATTTTGTCTTATTTATTATGTGTGTAGAATCATTCCAAAGAAGGTAGAAGATATAGGGGCATTTGAATTTGATGTTGAAGTGGAGCAGATTCTTATGCCACCAACATCAGATACCAGCAGTAGTAGTGACAGATCCCGGAGCCCTACTTGTAGGAAGAGTCCAAGGATTCTCTCACCAGTGATTTACAGTGAAGCTGAGATTTCCAGTAACGAGAATGAGGTTGAAGCAAGTGAAAGTGGTTTGGAAGAAAGGGAAATTGTTGATGTGTCCTTAAAAGCAGATAGACCTAGTATAATTGACTCCGTCAGGCTTTCTGTAAGTTATAGTGACATAAGATTTATTACACCTGACCAATTTACACATAAAACAGTTGGTATTGACTCATGCCTACATATTTAATGAGTGTAATTATTGCAAAACAACACCCACAAGCAATACATACTTGCTAACACTATTGCATCAATTTTACCAATGATACATATATGAGGCTATATTCTTGGGTAATTAATTTTGCACTATGAAATTGGCTTTCTGATGATTAAATACCACAAATATCAATTTTTCCGCAATTGATTTGTAACAGAAAGTTTGTTAATATATTCAATTTTTTGTTGATTTTGGCTGTTGCAGGCCTGGGCATTAGGGGCAATGCCCAGGTTGACTTTTTGACCAATAATTATATTCATGATTCTGGTGTGGGCATCCAGTGTAAACTGTGGTAGATCAACAGGCTTCTTTAGAAATCATCTCAATAAAGTTAGATTGGCATTTTCTGCACTATTGTATAGAAACTACACCACTAATTATTGATGCCTAGGTCAAACCAAATTCCTGCAACTGCCAATGTAAAGGACACCATGTTTAATCAAAAGAGAGTTTACAAACCAATTTATTCAGTTAATTTGTTTGTAGGGCATCCCTGATGTTGTGATGATGAATGTGAGAAAATTAACGATAGTGGTTGCAGAGGTACAACAGCCTCAATTGGCATGGCTCAGTTGTCATTTTTTGCATTTAGGATAAGTTTATGAAGGATATCCCATCGGTCTATGTGCATCAAAGTGATGTAGGACAGTTACTGTTTTACATGTTCAGTATTGCTATCAAAGGTGTAACTTTTTGCACATACCAGCACCAC